CCGCAGAGGGTTGCGCGCACAGCCGGCAAATCGCACTCTCGCCTGCATTTCGCGCACTCGACACGCACGATCTCCGCAGAGGGTTGCGCGCGGACCGGACAAATCGCACTCTCGCCTGCATTTCGCGCACTCGACACGCACGATCTCCGCAGAGGGTTGCACTTTCGGTTGACGCTGTTCGTCCCGCCCTCCGCCTTGAAAAGAGAATTTATAAAGTGGGGAAATGTTTTTTCATTAGGACATCTCCCGTGCTAGTTTTCCATACTCACACTTGCCTACTCATTGCATGCTTGTTGCATGCTTGCATAGTCATTGCATGCTTGCATACTCACGCTTGCATATCACGCTTGCATCCTTCTACACTTGCATACTTTGACACTGGCATACTTCGCACTTGGATGCTTTCGCTCTTCCAGTGTGTGTGTGTGTGTGTCAGCGTGAGTGTCGAAGTGTAAGTGTCGAAGTGTCAGTGTTCAAAGGATTTTCCGGAAGAACCCTTCGCAATGCTTTCGGGAATAAAAACCATCAAAATCGGGACCCACTCCACCGCCCCCAATACATGGCTAAAGCAAAGACAACTTGGGTAGCCGAGGCTACCTTTCGTGACTAGCAGTTTTCAAGGTCAGGTGTCTTTGAGTGTCTTTGTTCTACAAACTCTCCGAAAGTGGATCCCAACCTCAACACCTCGATCGACCACGACGGTGACTGGGGCCCCTGACGGCTCCTCGGTGCGGCCGCGGCGCAGGAGGCAGGCCACTCGGGCCGAAGATCCTGGGACCCGGCGCAGCGCGGCGCCCGCACCGCGGCTGTACGTCGGAGGCCCGAGCGGGGTTTGGTTCGGAGCCGGGCGGGGCTCGGATGAGAAAAGCTATAAAGTTGCTGTTTCTCTCGAAAACGATGGAGTTCATGGCCGAAGTCTCTTTGACGACTGTGAGACAAAAATGAGACGAAGAGCCCTTAAGGCGATGTTTCTAGACATGTTTCTTTAGGGGACTCAATCTGACTTTCTGTCTTGTTCGTCATCCAGTTCATCGCAGCGACGGCTGAGACCGATTCTCCCGGTATGAAATCTCACCCGGTCGCCGCCTCCGCAGGCGCTCTTCCTCACTCACCGCTTCCGGCGACCTTGGTGAGCCTGGCCTGGGACGGGTCAGAGCACCGCGGGGACTGCACTGCATCTGAGAGTCCCAAAATGAACGACTGTTAGTGACAGTGCCCTTCAGAAAGCAGAGAACCAATCGCTTGTAAATGTTGAACAATGGAAGATGGATCCAGAATCCTTAACTAACAACAGAATCCTTGTGTTTCCTTTTGTGGGAAGAGGAGGGGAAGCATCTTGCGAAGCAAGGAGAGTTAGGCGCAAGCCTCTGTTTGCGACATCACCACAGCAAGCTCCCATCAGCCGTTAATAGTTTTTTACATCCCACAGCCCCTTCCAGATATGTTTTTCATTTATGGTGCGCCATCTCATATTCTCTCACCTCGAATGCTCTTGAATCCAAGAACGCCGATAAATATCACAACCTGGAATCATTTGGAACCAAAGGGAAGTTAATTCGCTTCTAGTAGCATTCCTTGCTCCTAGTAGCGATGCCAGGAGCTACTAGTAGCATCCTTGCTCCTAGTAGCGACGCCCCTTGCTCCTAGTAGCGTCCTTGTTTCATTTTGTCCAAGAGGGTTCGGCTCTAAAAGGTGATGTCCGGATCTTGTTCTCGAATGCCTGAGTGTCGGCGTGTCCGCCGCGTACCCATCGCCATGCGATTCAATCCCGCGGAACTGTTTCGGCCAATCCTCAGCTATAGTTAGAACCTGAATGACCTCTATATGTTGGAGTCACCAACCACTCAGGCACCCGGCAAGGCCACTTGAGAGCCTGCGCGGACATCCGAGGAGAATAGGGCACCTGTGACAGTCCAAATTCTTATCAACTCAATGGCAAGTTGTTCAAAGCAAGGAACCTATGACCTGCAGGGTGCCAAAGAAGAACGCGTCCTTGTCGGGCCCTTTCAAAGCTCCCCCCCGAGTCCATCGGGGGCGGACACCCGGTGCCCGCCCTAACCATTATCCCAATGCCCAACTGATCAATCTGGCAGAGCCAGCTATGCCCCTCCCAGACCTGCCGTGAAGTTCAACTTCGGCCGATGAGTCCTTCCAATACTGGGGGGTCTCCCTATCTCAATACATCCAGGTGTGTTCACATTCGTGGTTGATTGTTTCAGAAGAACCAACGAGTCGGAATGTCATCCAGTTGAACACGTCGAGGCATCCGAACTGATGTTGAGTCTCTGCAATGTTTGATGCAAATATTTTTCCCATTTGAAGTGATCACACCAACCACGTGCGAGGACAACCAGTTCACCTGGTCGAACAGTTGAACAGTCCCTCCAAAGCGGGTCCAAAAAACTGACTCGTCATGGTTCATCTTGTGGGGCACGAGTCCGGCACGAGTGGCAAAGGTAACCCCGAAATCCATGCCTGGGATGGTGGCGGCTCCTGATTTGCACAGCAAGCAGTGGCGCCAGGTTCCGCGGACCAAACAACACACGTCCCTGAAATCAAATAAAAAACCGTAACCTGCCGCGGAGTGCGCCACCTTTTTGGCAACTTGGCGTTCAGATTTCATGGTCGAACTCGGGGTCATGGCATCCATTCAGGGAGTGTATGTTGCCACCCAAGAGACAATTAGAAACAAACACAGGGGGCGCACTCCAAAGCCGTCTCAATTTTGACCGTTCCGGCAGCTGACCCAGAAACAGGACTTGGATTACGAAAAAAGATTTTGGCACCACTTCCAAGGACTTTTGCTTTGACTCATCAACTCAGAAGTTGCAGCGTTCTTTGGACGAACCTGGAAAAAAAGGAACCAGATAGCGATGGCTCCAACCCAATAATAACGATGGCCTCCAACCTAGTAGTAGCGCTGGCCTCTGTAAAACTGGTAGGGAGAACTCTCCAGGCAGCACCGTCCACCTTTCTCCCAAAACCAAAGACCCGAGCAAGCGCTAGGTTTTCCACAAGCTATGGCGAGCAAGTTTCGAGCGCTCGCTGTCACACAAATCAGGGCACGTCTTGAGCCCTACAGCAATGAAAATGTTGGGCCAACAGCAATGTATAAATTCACACTGGTCTAAACATTTTCTTTGCCAAAGGGAGAATCATCCAAAGTGCAAATCAGATTCACCATGCAGGGCCACCGTATTTCACTTCCAATTGGTGAATTTGTTTTCTCTTCTTTCCAGAAACGAAATTGGGATCAAACACGATTCACCAAGTAGTTTGGTTCAAGGCCTGTATCATCCAAGGCTTAGTCAGCCCGCCAACACTTAACGTAAGAACCCCTAGTGTGGCCACACTATTTAGGGAACATTTCTCTTGGTTGACCAAAAGGTCATACTGAGCAGCCTGGAAAATATCACGTCCACAAAATTTCACAGTCTTGCGCACATTCCGAACTGCCAAAAGGAAAAACGGTTCTCAACATCTTCACCTGTGTCTCGAAGAAAAAGCCGTCACCTGCAACAATCAGGTCGTCCACCTAAGACTTTGCGTCCACCCGCGAAAATACGCACTGATGAAGCTGATGAGATTGGTTGAAATTTCTCGGAGCATCGCACAGGCCGTATATACTGCTTCAGCTACAGGCCAAAGTTCATGAGGCTTCATGTTTAAATACCGTCTCACCTCTTGAGGAGGTTCAGCCCAGATCTGTCTTTCGAGCTCCGATTGGTCACCGTTCAAAAAGCTGTCTTGATGTCTCCAATGTTGACTTTGAATTGTCCTCTGTCAGCAAAAATCGTGTTTCGTCCGCTTCCCGAGGCCCTGACAGCAACTCTGGGTCCATGTGTCCTTTCAAAAAAGCCTGGCCTTTGCTTTGCGGCCTGTTTGTTTTCCGTTTTCATCCAAGATCGGTTTCCACGCAAAAGTACCAATCTCATACCAAATATTTGTTCTCTAGGAACACTGGCTCTTTCACAAATTTCAACAGCACTGTTGTTGGTGAAATACTTAACTTCGTTTTCCATGCCACCCTCAAATTCCTTTCGATCGGCTTCCGACAATTTGTCAAAGTTCACCGGACAGTTCATCTCTACATTCCTCTTTGCCTTTTGGCCCAACACCAAAATATCACGTTTACAATGAACGTCCCTAACTGCAACTGACAAATGAGCTTCACACACTTCAGTCAGCTCACATGCTTTCGCAAACAGCATATGCATCTTTTCATCGCATTCTCCTGGTATGGTATGTAACTGGACAGGCCTTGAAGAATCCGAGTCTTCTTCCTATCTTATGATGAAGGGATCCCGATGTGGGGTCGGGCTGCAATGCCTATACGCCTTCTGGAGTCATCTATTCGGCGTTCAAGCTGTCATTAGGCCTTCCACTCACCGCTGTCCATGTCGCGTGGAAGTCTCCCCTCCCCGTCTTGTCTTCGATGATCTCGTCCACTCCTCCACCCTTCTTGCTCCAGTCTGTCTTCGTGGGATGACCTGCGCTTCCGGAGGCTGCTTCCATCTAATTTCATGCTGTGGAGAGGGATGTGGTCGTGGTGGAGGAGAGCCAGCACATTGATCCAGCTCAGGCACCAACATGTGGCCAATCTTGATGGCTTGTTCTGCGTTTTTTGTTTTCAACTGTTCTTGGTGGAGGTTGTGGAGACCCAGGCTGTGGAGGAGTGTGAGGCCTGTGCTGGAGACGTCGCGCGTCGAGCTTTGTGTTTTTGATGCGCTGCATGTGTGAGGGTGGCCCCACAATGGTTGGCCATCCTGATCTAGCTGAGGCCATAGGCCCCTCATGTGCACATCTTTGCTGGCCAGACTTTGCCTATGGAGATCGATCTTCCTGGCCTGGCTTCGTCATCGGTGGAGGACGTGGCGGCTTTGAAGGCTTCGTTTGCAGCATTCTGATAACGTCGTACTTTACTTGCTAGGTAGCTGTTTGCCACTTGTTGAGTCGGTTTGTTTCGTTTGGTTTGCAGTGGGTTGAATGAGGCTTTGTACTTTGTACCATACTCAATCAGAATCAAGCAGTTTTTTGACAAATGGCCTGGAAGCAAGGTGTGGGTGAGCATACACATGCATGACATGCAACGCTTGCCATGGGCCAGGCTCCTGTTAACTTGAGCTCAAGTTCGAGTACGGGCCAGGCTCGTGAATTGCCGTTTGAGCTCTGGGTCTGGCTCATATGTCATGTGGGCAGGAATGTCTGAAGATTGAGTCAGAGCCAACCCTACCTGCTGAGAAGGCCATGTGTGCTGCATGTAGGTCCTCAAACTGCATTTGAGTGCATGTATGGCCTCTGGACTTCCATATTTTTGCAAGTTTCTCTATCTCCCATGCAGTCCAAACTGTTCTTCCGTTAGTCCGGAGATCGCAGGAGCCAGGCCTTGCTGAAAAGCAGGCTCGACTTCGAAAGGATCTGAAGGCCAAAGCCAAGGAGGCATGTGGGCTGGGAGTTGGATCACCAAACCTTCTACTGCACGGTGTCCTTTGATCCCGCATTTGATTCGATCAGGCGTGTAGGATCGTACTACTCGAAAAAACAATTTTGAACCAATTGATCCAAAAAACTCAATCGCACACCAGCTAGCAGGATGAAAGACAAAAACAAAAGAAAAAGATCCAAAACCAGTTGGTGGCAGAAGAAAAGAAGCGAAAGAAGGCTCCGTCGGCTGGTTCGGCTGAACCGAAACGCAGGTCTCGGAAGACAGCAGCCGCTCTAGCTGCGGAGGAACCTGTGGTGGCAGCTGAGCCAAAGCGCAGGTCTCGGAAGGCAGCAGCTGCTCCAGCTGCAGAGGCTGAGCATCCGGTGAATCCGGTGGCGGCAGCTGAGCCAAAGCGCAAGTCTCGGAAGAGAGCTGCTCCAGCTGCAGAGGCTGAGCGTCCGGTAAATCCGGTGGCGGCAGCTGAGCCAAAGCGCAAGTCTCGGAAGCGAGCTGCTCCAGCTGCAGAGGCTGAGCATCCTGTGAATCCGGTGGTGGCAGCTGAGCCAAAGCGGAAGTCTCGGAAGCGAGATGCACCACCTGTGCCAGCATCGGCAGCCACAGAAGAAGCCTTTTGGCTCGACGGTTCAAGAACTTCATGAACATCTGCATAGTAGGGTTGCTCTTCTTGCCGCCCACTCAGCATAGCCTGGCTCATCGCTGCCTCCTTGAAGGTCAACCAACCCCTTGTGCTTCCCGGAGCTTGAGCTCTGCCATTGGCATGCTTCTCGAGGTGGCTCAGCTCTGGCTTGCTTCCGGCTGCGCTCATGGCTGGTATCAAAAGCAGGGGGGTTCAAATCTGGTGGTATCTCCATATCTATCGACCTCTTTCCAAATCGCGGAAGGCCGTCGTGAGGTGAAGTGTCTGGCTCCTCTCCGCCCTCAGAAGCAAGATCATGAAATCTCTGTTGTTTTCTCAAGGTCTTGCATATCGTTTCAAAGTCAGAAGGTCCATTGACCTCCAAATCAATCCGGTCTCAACTGCTCTGGTGAACAACGCAGCAAAAAACCTGCGGCGCTCACCCACACACTGGAACTTGGATGGTTAGTCAAAATCTGTTCAGAATTCTTTTCGCGACACAATACCCGGCCGGGGCCCATGCCAACAACCTCCAAGCGTGTACTCTCTGAGTGGTCTACTCTGAGCGCGCAAGGCACGTTGGAGTTGTCGCTGTGAAACTTCCTGGCCGCGGCTTCTATTTTCGGAATTGTCTCAAAGTCTAGGTCCTCACTCTGGCTGTCCCAGGGCAAGTCCATGTCAAAACGCAGAACTGATTCGACCATGATTTGCTCCAAACTGCCTTTGGTTTGGTGTGTATCCTTTGATGTTGCGAACCCAATTCTTGGCCATCACAGATAAATTCAACAGCGCGCGAGCATTTGTGTCTGCTCCATGCAAGCAATCTAGCGTCCCACTTCAGGACTTGAAGTTGTCTTGAATGTTTGCCCGTCTGCCAGGCCTAATGGGTTCCATCTTGATTCCTAAACCCTCCAACCAACTCAACAAATCCAAACCTCTCATGTAACCTTCTTCATCGTACCTCAATTGTCCGGAGAACAGGAAACAGATGAATCATTCATTCAGAAAACATTCTCTCTTTTGGCGGATATTGAGCGTTGAGGTTCGGTTTCCGCGTCGAACTATATGGATGGCCCGGTAGTCAGTCGGGCCGTCAAACAAAGAAATTCCAACCGCACGCTGGCCACTCTTTCCTGGGGCAAGCAACTCTATTGGCACATGCCACATGCCACCAAAAAGTATCAACATTGACACATACATTCCCACCATGTGAACCTCCGGTTGTGCCGGGAATTGTCTTGTTCCTGACATTCGCACCATCCAACATATCCGACTGTACTGCGTCCACTGCAAGAAGGTTTCTAAGGACTGCGTTTGGCTGTATGCCGCATATGCCCCTTCTTTCCACAGCAATCACAGATTCTTTCAGCATCCGTCACTGGTGCACTTGATCGTGCCAAGGGCCGCACTTGCCTTTCCGTTATTGTCCTTGTCCAGGTGGCTTCACTGGGTAAAAACCTCTGGCTGCTCTGTCTTGGTCCAATGCTCTTCTGGCTTCTGTGAAATTCACCAAAATGTCTGCATTGACCCCTGCATCTGCCAACAACTCTGCTGCGGCATTTTCAAACCACTCCTCCCTCTAGTTTGAAGATCTCTTCAGTATCTGTTCTCTGGCACATAATCCTGGTGATACGCCTGTCCCGATGTGGTCTTTCTTGGTCAAAGTTCAGCATCTCGACTGCCGAGTCCCCCACTGCTCCACATCAAGCGAAGTGCTGTCAACACATCAACCTTGCAAGAACTCGCGTTGCCACGAATGCTCGCTGTGTCTGAGGGCGACATTCGCATGAACACATTCAGGACAAACCACCCATACACTGCAGCTGGCATCTTTACACTGGAAATAGTCTCCGTGATGGCAATGGCACGTTCCATGCGTCTCATCAATGTCTTGAAACGAGTCTCATAGTTATTGATCTCTTCGCCATCATGACGACATGCTTCCTTCCGCAAGAATAACTCTGTAAACGTGTCCTTCCGCAAGAATAACTCTGTAAACGTGTCTCCTAATAGTGCCACCCCTCAGATTTTTTCAACTGTTCTCTCTTGATTTCCCCCAGTGTGTCGAATGCCTTACTAGGGGCCCAAAAATGGAAGGTCCTCAGTCTTGCAAGATCTTGCAAGCGTCTGCTCCACCCGAATCTTGTAGTCCTCATATAGTGCTCCAGCTTCCGTCCCACCATGGATATTTGGAGCCAATAAGCCCCTAATATTCATCTGAAAATATTCATACAGCCCCCAACAAAGTCAACAGCCCTGGTAGCGAGAACTCTCCAAGCAGCACCGTCCGCCTTTCCCCCACAAGCAATGACTCGAGCAAGCGCTAGGTTTTGCACAAGCTATGGCGAGCAAGTTTCCAGCCTTCGCTGACGCACAAATCAGGGCACGTCTTGAGCCCGACAGCAATGATAATGCTTTTGGCCAACACCAATGTAGATAATTCACAGCCTCCAACCTAACAGCAATGGCCTCCAACCTAATAACCATGGCCTCCAACCTAAGAGCGATGGCCTCCAACCTAATAGCGATGGCCTCCCACCTAATAGCAATGGCCTCTAACCTAAGAGCGATGGCCTCCAACCTAAGAGCAATGGCCTCCAACCTAATAGCGATGGCCTTCAACCTACTAGCGATGGCCTCCGACCTAATAGCGATGGCCTCCAACCTAAGGGTGATGGCCTCCATTATGTTTCTCTGCTCTGCGTGCTATGAACCCTATGAACCTTGCCCAATCTGCTTTGAAAAAGAGATTGAAACCTAGACATCCGTCACATCTCGGTCCGAACACATTCTTTCGTCGGAGTGCATGATGAGTGCAACAATTGAAATGTGCATCCTGAGCGTGCCTTTGAAGACAGAAAGAAAGAAAACGTTGCTCGCCTCCATCGACGTTTGAATTCAAAGGCAAGGTCAAGCTTTGACCCTGTGCCTGGGGCCGCGGTTGTTGGAGCAGAGATGAGCAGAGCACTCGTTCCACTGACATACTTAAGGTACTCGGGGTATGTGTCTCTGTTGTGCTGCCCATTTCCATGACTTTAACAATTACGTTCAGACATCGATCATGAACCCCTACACCAATCATCAGTCCCCAAAAGGGTTCTCCAGAACAAACCTAGAACTGAAAAAACGAGATGCAAAGATCCGTATTATAGAGAAACATGATTTGTGGCTGCCGAGCAAACCACAGGTTAAACCAACAAACTAGTTGTTCATACCAATAGATACCCTATTAAAGCGCAGTGGCTTTAGAGTTCTGCCTTCTTTTTGCAAGGCAAACTGAACATCTAAGTTGGACTATGTTTAGATTGAGTGTCACAGTGTTGTCATTTTAAGTTGCTTTCGCCACCGTCACCGTCACGCTTGCAGCCAACGTCAACTTGTCCTTGCCTGTTTTCCGCGGACAGTAGCCGCAACGGTCCCAGGTCCCACGTGCGTATGCAGCTGTTTTGGGGTGTTGTCATTATAGTATTTTTGGTTGTGGGACTTAGTACAACGTTCGATGCTCGCTGCTGCGTTGGGTTCTACGCTTCATGCTTTGCGTAAGACGATGAATGCGATGTACAGGGTGGTATGGGGGACAGTCATTACGTTCGATGTATGATGCATTCTCTGAGGAAGTTGCCCGTAGCCCGACCTCCACATATTCAATTGGCGTAACCGTTCGTTGTATAAGGTTCACTCTTTTTGTGGAAACATAGGATGGAGTAAATATGATATTGTGCAAATGTGAGGATTTCATGCATGTGTTCATTGTATGTGGTTGTTGTTTTGTGCAAACGTTTTCTGTGGGACCGAATGTGGCGGTTTGAAGAAGGATTCATCGCCGTGGTTCACGAATGCGACCAATTCTTTTCTGACGAAGAGCACTTCAGAAAAAGTTTGGTGCAGCTGCTGTGAGCGTCGTGCATAACTATGAAAATACAGAGAATCAACCGTAGAACAAAGAACAATAAGCGAGCTTCAGATTCCATGTCAAACTCCGGTAGAATACCACAAAATTTTGAGATATGCTGTATGCCTTTGAATGCAAGCTACCACACCAAGCCACATGAAACCAAAAAAGACTAGCTTGGCAACATACAACTACTGTCATCCTGTTTATTCTGTCATCCTTGTGCAACGTGTTCTCAATTTCCGATGTCATCTTTGGTGGCTTTCGTGCCAAACTTTGGCCATTCGGACCTGACATGGAGTTCCAGTCAGACTGACCTAGGTCAGGACCCATGACGTTTGCAGGTCACAGGGTCACCGGACCGGTGTCCTGAACTCTCAAAGAGCCCATCCAGCCTCAACGTGGTTCTCGGCGCAACCTTGAGGCCCTACGACAGCCATTGCAATGATCGTGGCTTCGAGCAAGTTGAGAAGAAAAGAGAGGGGAGTGGGTTCGCTTCACAACTCAGGTTGAATCGCGAACAAAGCGGCTGCGGCGGCGGCTCGCGCTCAACGTGCTCCCGCTTCCCAAATGACCGATGGTTGTTTGGGAACACATGGAAACACCACTGGTGCCACTACCACCAGTTGGAATTCGGCAGCAACTCCCCAGCCATTCGTCTCGCAGCCGTTCCACGACGCATAAGTTGAGGATCCATAACCAGAACACCTAGAGAACACCGTTCGACAAAGACATCCATCTTCGTAAACGGAACGAAAGTGAAACTGGAAGGACCCACAACTGCAGACCGTCCAAGCCAAAGCAACCAATCCAAGTTCCAATTGGTTCAAAAGTCTTCCGAAGTCTTCCAAAAGCTTGTGGCCCTTCATTTCTGCTTGTGGTGGTCGCACCTCTACTGTCGAGCTTGGGGTTCTGGAGCTTCAAATCGGTGAGGGGCTGGGTCTCCATATTCTGTCGATACTGTGTCTACATAGGGTATACTGCCGTATAATGCCGCAAAGGGTAGACCCTCTGGCTGTCGACTCTTCTCCGAGTCGATGCTGTGCCGAGCAGTTTCGCATCCGCGCCGGAATCCTTGGAACTCTCAAAAATCGCAAACCCATACAGCAGCCAGCGGACAGCCAGCGACCTCCATCGGTTCGTCAACGCCGGTCCCTTTGCTCGTCGAAACGGCTGCTGCCGCCGCCCCGCCCACTCTGGAGCTCGAGACGGTCGGACGGCGAAGTTTTGGACCGGAAACCCACGAAGCCGCCTGGGACACCAACAGAAAACCACCCAGCCAATGAGTGTTGAATTTGGGATGACGGTTCTTCAGCGCTTTTGCGGGGCGGAGAAACGACCGCTTCCTCTGGGGGCCGGTGCTGGAAATCAAGGTCAACTTGCCACCCGTGCGGCCTGACACGGAGAACAGGGCGGGGTCGAGGGGTCAAGCGCCTCTACCTCGGGTGCGGTCGACCAGTGGTCGTTTGGGCGGCATCATTTCTCTGGATGGAAGTGCTGGAAAGAGAGAGAGAGAGAGAGAGACTGCCTTGTGGCGAAGCCCAGATGTCTTCTGCCCCTTCAAGATCCACTGGACATCCACGGTGTCGTGGACAAAACAGAATCATGGTGTATATACAGTACATGGTGTTCCGGCAGTCCCCTGCACTCCCACCTCTTCGTTTCATTTTACCGGCTCAAAGTTTGGGTCCTCCATTTGCCCAGAATGACACTCATTCTTTGGATGGAAATGATATTCTGAATCTGAGTTTGGGCCACTTCGCGCATGCAGAACGCCGGTGAAAGTGCGAAAAAGAGGGCCAACAAGAAGTCCAGAGGTCGACATGTCGGCTGAGAACCAACCTGCTCTTGAGTGTCAGCGCTACAAAAAAAACAATCTTTAGCCTTGATGAATGTATACAGTACCCCATTGTCTCGAAATAGAGCATCACTTCTTCTAGTTGCCAAGGTAGTGCGGGAAAATCTGCACATCAAGAGTAGATGAGCTGGTTGGCTATTTGAACACCGTGTTCTGACAATTGGTCAACTGTGAGCATTCACAACTTTGGATGGAAAACAAAGCTATCCCTAAACACCGGCAGGCGGACTCCTCTCTTTCTGAATCTTCTCGTGGCTGTCGCCGCGTCTTCTTCACAGTCTTCGTTCGGACACGACCCATGGCGAATCGTCTCGCAGCTGTTCAACGGTCGGTGCTGGAGCCGTAACACCGGTTCAGTGGAGAAGAAAGGCGTTTCACGGAGATCCCAAAAGCAAGGAGTGTTGGTGTCGAATGGTCTACAACAGCGGACACAATATTGGTCATAGACATTCCACAAGTATAGGTGTTTTTGGCGTTACTCCTACAGGGATCATCCTCTTCTTGTGCATATGGCAAAACAAGCGTGCAATGAGCTGGAGTGTCAAAAGGGAACAAACATGAACAAATGAACAAAAAGGTCTATCATTCGTGTCGGAGATGGCTGTTTAGCAAGCTATGGACTGATCATCCAGCTAAGATTACCTGGCCGTCCGCCAAAAGAAACAGCACCTTACACACAATTCATGCCCTCTCTGAGCAAAAAATGCTGGATGTGTGCTTTTTGGACAACATGGAAGTCCACCAGGCTCCCAAAAACGGCGTTAAAAACACCGCTTTCGGGTCGTTCGAGGTACCCCGACGGCGATTGCCGCTCCTTCAGCGACCCAGTCAGCCAGTTCCACAAAATCCATAAGCTAAAGCAAAAGCAATGGCCTCTAACCTAGCGATGGCCCCAAACCTAAGAGCGTGCGATGGCCTCCAACCTAGCAATGGCCTCCAACAAAAAAGCGAGCGATGG